ATGAGGCATGACTGTCTTTTAAAATATGTGGCTGTAAACTCATGCAGGCTTTGACAGTTAAATGAAAATGTGTCACTGAAAAAACAGCAAATAAAGCTAATCATAAAATGAGCATTTTTATAGCATTGTTTTAAAACTGTGTGAAAAGAGAGAAATTAAATACTCAGATGCATTAATCCTTCTTGCAGTTGACCTTCACACTATTGACTTTCAGCAGACAACTGTATAAAACATTAAAAATTAGTTTACCACTAAGCCAACAAAATCAACTAGCATTAGAGCTGTTTCCTTTTAAAATTATTAACTCAGTTTAAATTAACACCTGTCTTCATTTGGTAAGGTTCCTGGGAGTTGCTGCAGCAAATATGAGCACATGTTGACATACTCCTTTCATTCAGATGTTCACTTACTGTTTTGTTAAGTATTTAATGAGTTCCTTACTGACATAAATGAAATAAAAACTTCAGAATAGAAAACCTATCCATGAAAAATGGAGAAGAAAATACAGGTATTTTTGAGAGACATTAATAAAATACCTTCTTCTGGGTCATGACTGCCTCTTACTCTTATAAAGTATTTTAGAATACATCTAGGTTTTGTTGTTTGACAGTTGTGATGCAAACTGCAGAGGAGAAATTGATCTGTCACGGTGCCCTAAGTATTACCTTGTGCAATCTTGAACACCATGTGATCAAGTACTCTTCACTACCAAAGATAAGTCAAGGAGTCGACTAGGAAAAAGGAGCTCTGGCAAAGCTGTGACAGTGATTTTCTGGCCTATAAGTGAGACCCTGAGAGAAAACAGCTTAACTCTAAGAAAATTATGCTATACATGCATACATTGTAAACATAAAGCATTTAAAATCAATTTAAAATACAAAGAAAATACCTGAAAGCAGAAAAAAAGGACAGGTGGTTCTACTGACAAGGAGGCAAAGGGTGCTGGGGTGTTCTGGGGCAGGACTTAATGCTGGCATGGTCACAAACTGGCCTGAAAGAGGAAAAAAACCTGAATGTGTTCAGATAAACTCCAGTGGTTGCAACCAGTCATAGCTTCGGTCACCTTTCAAATCAAAAGAAAGTTAGAAATGAGTCATATTTATCTGAATCTACAGTAGAAAGATTTTGATTTTGAAAATACAGGTTAATTCTACAGTTTTCAAATAAAACAAGTTGACTTTGAGTAAGAGAAAATAACAATGGATCATTACAGAGCCCAAACTATCCTACTATGCAACATCTTAACTTTGAATGCTGAGGATCTATAAAGCAGGTGGCTGCATACAGCTGCCAAGCATCATCTTAACCTCATTAGTAGTCAGTAAAGCAACATCAAAAAAGCAAGTTGCAGATGGCAGCGAAAGAAATGGTGCATAAGAACTAAGAGAGTCCTTGAGTATGTACCTTTATTTGCAAAATAAAGCAATGCAGTGTAAATGTCTTAACAGATGTAGAAGTAAAATATTGCTACTATGAATTGCGGTAGTTTTGAGGGGAGGTCTGTTTCTGGGTAACACTAGTGAAAACCAGCTGCTCATTTGCTTTTTCTATGTGCCCAAAGGTAGTAGGAGAGATAATAACTACTATGAATGATAATTCTGTTTTATTTAAATAGAGGATTGTTAGATTCCGTCACACGGAGGACTCCCTTCTATCTGGGCTCCATTCTATTGTTATTCTTAACCTTTTTTATTTCTTCTCTTAGCAATTTGTTCCTGTTAAAGCTAGCTAATCTACTAAACCTGCTCCTCTTTGCATATTTTTAACGCGTCCCTTATTCCTCAAGCTGATCATATATGCAGAAGGTGAAGCTGGTCCCCCGTGATATGGGATGTGGCCGGTTTAAACTTACATATGTGCTAAATATCAGGCTTGTCATTTGGCTGCCTTCTGGCTGCCTCTCAGAGCATAGGAGCTGACTTATAATTGGTGTTTTATGACTGAGCCACTAGTGTTGTGGTTTTTCTACCCAGCCACAACTTCTACTCAACCTGTAGGAACTGTATATCTTTGTCACCTCTTTGTCAAATTTGGCTGGAATTGGCCAACCAGTCGAAGTTGGGGAGGTGGAGAGGATAAAGGAGCAGGAGTTATAGAATGACTACCATTGCAGTTGTGTACATTAATAAATTCTACAAACTAGATGAAAGTCTGTGGTCTCTTCTGGTGAGATTTTTTTCCATGGAGGACTCTGTCATTGTCAGGAAAAGAAGCTGTATGAAGACCTGGTTACCAAACTTCACTGGAGACTGTTGCTAGAGGTTCCTCTAAGAGCTGTTCTCAAAGATATATGTCTTCATAGTAGTACAGCAGGAAAATCTGTGTGGTTTGAGAGGTCTGAGATGGGGTCTCAAGGGAATGGGACAGTAGTTCCTTGGTGAAGCAGCAGTGTAGCTGAGCAATAAAGATTGAGCTGCTGCAAAATAACATGGTTGTTCTCTAAGAATTTAAAGTCCTTCAAGGCCAGCTGTGATAACATGAATCATAGAATCATAGAATTGTCAGGGTTGGAAGGGACCTTAAAGATCATCTAGTTCCAACCCCCTTGCCATGGGCAGGGACATCCCCCACTGGATCAGGCTGCTCAGAGCCCCATCCAGCCTGGCCTTAAACACTTCCAGGGACGGGGCTTCCACCCCCTCTCTGGGCAACCTGTGCCAGTGTCTCACCACCCTCATGGGGAAGAACTTCTTCATAACGTTCAATCTGAACCGATCCATCTCTAGCTTTAATCCATTCCCCCTAGTCCTAGTAACATGACCATTACAGCTTTCATGTGTCAGCAGCATCAATGCAGTGAAGTCTTCTCCACCTTAAATGTGGCTAAAGATTTTCTCAAGGATGGGGCAAGGGTTGAATGGGCTTAGTTTCAGAATAGTTTCCTTGGAAAAATCTCTCCTACAAAACTGAAATTTGTTTGTAAGTGCCTCTTTGTTCTGTCATCATCTGTGATGTCAGTCAGCAATCCCTCTTCTGATATCTGTCACTTGAAGTTGCCATTTTTCTACTGAACTGTCTGAGAAGACAACACCTTAATCTCACATCCTGTGAATCATTCTGAATTAGTAAATCAAAAGCTAGCTTTGATAATCCTTATCTTTTCTGCTTTTCAGGACAGTTAGATAATGGCATCATTGATAGGCAAAGTAGCTCTAGCTGTGGTCTGTGATTCAAAAACTAAATAAATGACAAATAGTCTTTTAAATAGCCAACTTTATCAAGTAGTTCTCTTAAATGGCAAAAGAACCTTAATGCTTTTAAACTTTTGGGGTTTATACTCACAATTTATCTGTACTTAAGTTTTTGTTTGTTCGCTTGTGGTTCTGAAACTTAAAATATATTTACACCTGAATCTAGAGAACTTTTTTATCTATGTAATTTATATTAGATGAAATCTTGATTAAAAGAAGAATACTTTTGAGAAAACCTGTGATATGTATGAACTACCTTAAATTAGTTGACTGACTTATTTCAGCTGGAGAATTCATGTTAGGAAAGTTTGAATGCTTACAGAACATGAATGTTGCTTTTAATTAACATAAGTCTTCTGATCATTAGTCCAAATTATGTGAAAAATACTTGAAAAAAAGTATATACATGCAGTGTGATCAGCATTTATTTAAAAATAGAGATGGCTCTTTTGCATGGCATTGATTTCATTGTAAGGAACGCAGAGGAAAGCATAAGGCAATGTGTAATTGAAGCATTTAGAATAGGTAAGTTTTTGTGAATCCTTAACTATGTAATGCGACACTAATTTCTTCAGTCAATTTTGAAAAAGGGAGGAAGTAAAAAAATAAAATAAAGTATATGTACACAGATAGTGCCAGATTCCAGACTTTGTTGCCTAGTTGGCCTTGGCCTTGATCTTTTACAGAAGATATAACAGGAGGTGGCAAGAGGGATAGAAATGTAATCACTTGGGCTATTACAGCAAAACAGTGTGGCTAAGTACTTTCTTGGCAGTGTGTTGCTGTTTTTATCCATTCAGCAAATGTAATTTATTTATACATCTGTCAATAAATGCAAGGCGGCATCCAATAATGAGTACAGCAGGGATTTAAGCTGGAGTGTATTGCTGTGTTTGACACAAAGGTCAGCCTTGGGAAAGGGGCCTGAAATTAACATTTCTTGAAAACTATTTTTCCTTCACTGAGGCTATCTCTTAATTCCAGCAATTTTCTCGGTTTGATAAGCAGAGAGAGCATGCATTTTGATTATATAAAGGAGGGAGAAGGTGATGAAACTTAAAAAAATTTCAACTGGCATTGCATTCTGGTGATAAGAATGGGACTTTATGCAGCACAGAAGAGATTACCTGAGGTAGAGTTGGGAAGCAAATTGTATTTACAAAAGGTGGCATGATTTTCCTAATAGATGTTCAGAACTAGCTATTCACTCACATATTCTGCTGAGCTTGACTAGAAATGACTTCATTTCAAAAAGGACAAATCTGATTGAAGGTAAAAGCATTTCCCTCTCACAGATACTTGTCTAAAGGATTTGCATTAAATTTTCTTGATGGGAGCACAGTAGTATTTTATTCTGCATCTGCATGAACTGGTAATGTGGAAGATAAAAATACAAATCGTGTCCTTGATTGCTTCATGCTTCAGCCACTTGAATTACTAGATTTATGTCTGCAATTATGGAAGAGATGTTGCAATATGATAGTTTGACAATAACTGTCACAATTATATTACCAAAATAAAGATTCAACTTATACTTTAAGTTAAGAATATTGAAGTCACATTTTAAGGAACAGGCATATCTTCCGGTGGCTTTATCTTGTTTTTTAATGAAGCTGGAGTATTTTTAAAGAACTGTAGGTATGTCTAGATATTGTCGGTTATAGGTGGGATGCGCAGATGTCAAAGATGTCATGTGCTACAAATTTCCATGAGCTATTACACAAGGCTGTTGTGAAGTACCTTGGTAAAAATGAACGAGATGTACATGTGCTATTTCTGAATCCATTACGTTTTTCTCCCTCTATATAGATCCTGGAATTGGTGAAGGGCATGCATTACCAGCTGGCCTGTCAGAAGTACTTTGAGTTGACGCATGATGTAAGTAGCTACTAATTTTTGTTAGAGCTGTTACTGTTTTTGTCTTGAGGAAAGCCTTGGAAATCATGCATGAAGCCCGAAGACTTGTGGTTTTCACGTCCATCATTAGTTGTCTTGCCTTGTTAGTTTTCATTTCAGTAATTGCAAATACACTTTTGTAATTTCCTGCACTTATATGTTGATGTTATTAGCACCCTGAACATTACAAGATATTGTAGAAAGTTATGCTTTCTTCCTGAAAATGCCAACATTGTTGAATTTTGTGTATTTCAAGACATTTAGCTTTCTCAGTATCCTTTTTTTAATCAGATTTGTGGATTTTAACCCATTATACGAGTTTGGTATTTTGAGACATACCTTAAAAATTAAGCAAATAGGATCTAAAAAGTGTAATTAAAACTAATCTTTCAGCATGTGCATAGTTAATATTGTTAATTTTCACTTTGTATTGTTTCACATCTATAGTAACTTAGTAACACAAAACTGTAATATAGCAAATAGTCACAGGCCCTCTCCTATGTGATTTATTGATTCAAAGAAACAGCTTTTGCATTGGTTCGTGATTCCTTGTCATCAAGAAAAAACAAATAAGCTTAGCCCTTCTTATATCTTTGGTCTCTCCACAAATCAAAAATTGGAAACATCCCCTTCAAACAGCAGAGTGTGGACCGCCCTTCCTAAAGATACGAATGAGGATTAGATGACACACCCACAGACATCTACTGTTGACTTTTTTGTTCTTGGTGATTTCCACATTTGATTTAAATGGAACTGTTTGTCTCCCCAGATTTGCAGCAGTCATATGTGTGAATGTATGGCATATCCAGAGTTGTTTTGACAGCTTTGTCTTACAGTCTTAGAAAATGATAAAACAGGTCTCATGATCTGGAAGGAAATTCAAAATCATGTACAATACAAAATTTAGTTAACACTTGCCATGTTGAAGGCTATAATATTTTCCTGAGATGACTGTAGACCCCAAGGTCAACATTCACCAAAGGATAAATCAGCACAGTGCTGAAGATCTATACTGCATTTTAGGAGAGCTGTCTTTCCATTCTTCTGTGGCAAATTCCAGGACAGCTTTATTTTTTTCAGCCTTGTGGTAATATACACACCTGCCTTTGCAGCTTGCACTGAGAATCATCTTCCTGCTTTGCTGTTGTAAAGTATCTTACTTCAGTGAGAGAAAGCAGAATGCACAGAAAGTAATTTGAATGGCACATGCATATGAGGGCAATTTTAAAAGAGAATTTAACTGCTAAACCTGTTACTAGCTTGCCTACAATGATCTTTCTGCCTTACAACTATATGCATTGGTAATTTTTTTTTTTTTTATGAGGTGGTAAAAAGATGTGTCGCTGAAGCTGGTGACTCCTAATCAGACAATCAAACCCTTGCTTTCCTGTATATCACTAGCAGAGCTTTACAGTAAGGGAAATCTCTGAAGAATGAATCAGCATAGCATTGATTGGTTTTGTTTCTTCAGATAGTTGAACAATCTTAAGTAAAATTTTCCTACAAATAATGGACTAGCTCACATGGAGAATTTCAGCTTCAATTATATAAAAATTTTACTGAGAAAGTGTTCGATATATGTTAGGCAGAGCTATTAGTGTTACCTATAATTGTCCAATTTCATGTTGATTATCCCTTTTAGATAAGTTTTTATTTTGTATTAGATAAGTTTTTTATTTTGTACTAAAGTGAGGACACGAGGCAACTGACAGAAAGTGGAAATGAGACACCCTGAAAATATAAGCAGTGTAACATAACCCAAAGTAAATAGTCACGGTAGCGAGGAATGCCTTTCATGGTTACAATAGCAGCAAGATTTTACTTTACTTTAGTTGGCATAATTGGATGGCTACTCCAAAAAGAGAAAAGTATTTCCGGTCCAAATAGTTTGGACATATAGGCTGCATATATGCAGTCAAGTAAAAGAGATTTAGGATATCAACTGTGAACTACCAGTAGATTAAATTATTTTCTTGTGACAGTGTGCCTATAATAATTAGTGTTTAAAAATCTGATTGTGTATAAATCCACTGTTTTAAGAGCCAAAGCAGTATGAATGGATGAGAAAGCCTAACTGGCTAATGCCTGTGTTTACTAGGTTATTGCCCAAAGGAACTAATGGTGTTAAAGTTGTTTATGTGAATATTGATGTATTAGTTACTTGTTGCAGTTACAGCTGTAACAATGGCTGGTTATTTCTATATTAATATTTATCTCTAAATGTTTTATTCTTGGGTACTGATGTTTTACAATCTTTATGTGAAGTAAATTACAGCCATCACATAGCAAACTTTTGGGTGCAAGCATCACTTTTGAGTAGTTGATTTAAAAACATATTGAAAAACAAATTTTCCTAGTCCTTTGTGATGAAATTGCTAGAACACAGGACTTTTTTTCTTCATTTTCTTGAAAAAAGGCATGTGGTAAATTGATACAGTTTACTGGAGCCCCATGGTCACTCCACATATTTTTTCTGTAACATCGGCGTGTGGCATTATCAGCTCTCATTTTAAAAGTTCTTGATTAAAACCCAAAGATGCTATAGCTACAAAATGTTTCCTTCATGTTTTTCAAAACAATGTGTGCTGTAGCAGAAATAAAAAACTAGTTTGTGTGAAAGCCAGTATGTCCAAAATGCTCTGAATCCAAAAAGAGTCTTGTGTTAGCATCACCTATTAGATGGAGTAAATAGTTCTGTCCGAAGTGACTTGGGTCAACACATGGCATAAACTTTAATTTTTGACTGCAGAGAAGATACATTTTTCTTTGGGCATAGTGGGTTCCAGATGGATTTACAGATGTGAATGGATAAAACTGTTGGAGAAATCTAATTTCTCTATTTCTGATAGTAAATTTCAAGTAACTTACAGCTAGGTTAATGATGCATCTTTTAAAATTGGTGTGCTATGATCTATATTACCTAAAAACATTGTAAAACTTAGAGCAAGAAAAATTTTGTATGCTTCATCTCCGTTTTTGGGGTCAATTTTCTTATGTATTTCCAGCCAGAGCAGAATGCGTTTGTTCAGAGAAGTGCTCCTTGTACCTTGTTGTTTTGTGTAGTTTTCAGAAATGTTTATATATCACTATATGACAAAAGAAGATTATGATTATGAACAAAAGTTCCCCTTTCTCCTGCCTCTCAACAAAGGGTGGTAGTATGAATGGGCAGAATTATCTGAATTAAAATTGAGTTGTGTAATTTTAATCCAGTAGAGCTTTGTTTTAGTAGAGCTCAGGTTTGAAAAGGAGAAATAGTTCATGGAATCATACTACATTTTTAACTAACCTGTAAATAGCTTTTAGCCAAATACCATCATTCACCTCCGAAAACAAGGTTGTAGGCTCCATGAATTGCTTCTGCAGCTTTTTCCAAGTCATTGGGGAAAGAGGAGTTTAGAAGAAAATTAAGAGTTACAAAGTGAATTTTAAATTGATCTGAAGAAAACTGAGATTTTAAGGTTAAAAAACCCCCCAGAATTAATTAAGAGCTACTTCTAGGAAAGCCAGCTTTTCATTGTATCACTTCATTTTAAGCCTTTTTGGTGTAAAGAAGTAATTTAGTTCCCACATAATGGAAATTGGAGCATGGCTGAAAGCTGACTGGCTGAAGCTCACACAGATAAGACTGAAATGAAATTCAGTGGTGGCTTTGGGTTTCTACTTTTTTTGTGGGGTTATTTTTTTGCACTTTTTTTTCCTTTTTTTTTTTTTCTTAGTGCTTTTTCTTTTGAGTACTAAATTAGTGTTCTAGGCCTGTCACTTATTTTTAAGATTTTTCAAGCAAGGTCACTTACTACAGTTGCTAATGACTTTGTGTCTGAATGAGATTTTGTTATACATGTCACCATTTTCTGATGGAGCTAAGCTAGGCAGTGCTAATGCATTTAGTCAGGGTTCCATTTAGAGCGCACATTAATCCTCTGCTTTATGATTTTTCACAAGTGGCTGAAATTTAAACTGATGGGTTTTGGCATATTAGATCAGCCACAGTATGCGTCCTCATGAGATGTTCTGTGGTGCTTGTTATGCTTGAATTGGCCCTGCCCTTCTGGGAAAAAGGAGCAGAAAATTACCACTATGTGGCTCTTAGTCTTCCTTCATTTCTTTTATCCTAGGTTTGGGAAATTTTCCAATGTTTAAGAGCAGTATATTTCTCAAAATGTTCTTAGTATTCGCATTAACCAACAGACAGATAAAAAGGTGTAGATTGCCTGAATATGAAGTGGAAACACCTTTTAAAATAAGTATTTCCAAATTCTGAGCCCCCCCAAAGAAATACAAAGGTTATAGCTGGGATTTGTGGTGCATCAGAAAATTTTACTTTTAAAACTGAAAGATTTGTTAATTTGAAATACATGATGACCATTAATTGAATGTTCATTTGTCAAATAGTTCTGGAGCTGGAGGAATGTGCCTGCTAAGTAGAAAGGAGCAAGAAAAATATTCTGCAGCCCCTGCTAGTTCTCTGTATTCTCTTCCACTGGAGGTTAAATGTTCTTTGGTGTTGCTTGTGCATCTATCTTCAGGATACTGATGTTGACACTGATGGAGCAGAGATAAGCTTAATCTGTCAGGCTTCTGTCTTAGCCTGCTGCTTGTAAATATTGCATGTATGGCTAATGGA